ATAATAATAATAATAATAATAATAATAATTAATAATAATAATAATAATAATAATAATAATAAACAACAATAATAATAGTAATAATAATAATAATAATAATAATAATAATAATAACAATAATAACAATAATAACAATAATAACAATAATACAATAACAATAACGATGATGATGATGATGATGATGATGATGATAATCATAACAATAACAACAAGAACTATAATAACAATAATGGGAATAAGAATTATGAATAAAAATAATAATGAAATGATAATAATAATAATAATAATAATAATAATAATAATAATAAATAATAATAATATAATAATAATAAATAATAATAATAATAATAATAATAATAATAATAATAATAATAATAATAATAATAATAATAATAATAATAATAACTATAACTATAACTATAACTATAACAATAATACTACTTATAACAATGATAAAATAATAAAAACAATAATAAAAATAATGACAATAACAATAATAATAACAATGATGATAATAAATAATAACAAAAACTATAAATAAAGACAATAATAACAAACATCAAAATAAGTAAATAAATCACTGAAATCGAAAAGTAAAAGTGTGGCAACTCGATCTGATCCCCCCAAACCACAAAAACTTAGCCACAGCATACTAAAACCATGAGTCCTTCTAAAAAAAAAAAAATCCGGTCCCTTACTTTGCATCTGCAGCGTCTGGGGCAGCGCCCGCACTTCTACAGCCTCTGCCGGAGAGAACTGCTCTAGAACCCACTTTAGGAGATTTTGTCTCGGTCCTCCTGCCGTGAGGAGTACCGATTGCACCCAGCTTGGCTCTAGGGTCTCCATGCCTGGGTATTCTAGCACCTGGAAATAATGTGAATTATCAATAAAGTATCATTTATTTGTTTTTTATTACTAAAGATTTTGTTTATGCTATCATCATTATTGTTACCTATGTTATATAAATGGGAATAATTCATCTTTAATTTTTGATAACCATGCCCTACACAGTAAAAGGTCTATGAATTCTATATATTAATGAATTCTAAGAGTTTTTTCACCTTTGATATTTCAAACTATAAATAAGGTGGTTGATCAACATAAAAACATAATACCAGTAAGAATTATTACAACACTAACACAAGGATGATAAACATGAGACAAATGCATTTTATCCTAATCGTGAATTTATCTTTAACATCGATTTAGAATGAGAGCCACCCCTTTGTAAAAACACTGGGCCTACTTAGGTGCTCAACTCTATATCAGTTAAACAGAGCTGGTCCTTGATCAACTGCCTAAACATAAGAAGGGGCAGTTCCTGTTTACTTATCATGTCTCTTGAGTTTTAAACAGAGGTAATTGTAATGACTGCATGTCAGACAGGTGGAAAGATTTGAACAAAACACATATTTTACAATTTTTTATTATCAATCATAGTATTAACTTCTGGGTAAATTATCCTTTTCCCGGTTAGCAGTTTAAAGCATCAAACTGCGAATTATAAAGGGAATATTAAGACTTTAAAAAAGTAGAGAAAGGCCAAAAAAAAGGAAGGTATTAAATAAGCAACTGTAGGAAAGACAGGGAGAGACAACATAGACAAATAAAATAATAAAGCAATAAAAAATTAAAAAACAATAAGGAGAGACAAGACAGAATAGAAAAAAACAAGAAATAGATAAGCAAAAAAGGAAATGGGAAAAAATTTTAATTAAGAAAAAAGAGGAAAAGTAAGAAGAATAAGCACAAGAAAAAAGGAAGTAGAAAGCCACATGAAAAGAGAAACTAAATAAACATAAAAAATATTTTCAAATATTGATTTACAAATATACACACACCTCCTTTTATCATACAAAAGGAGGAGCGAACATTGGTCTGATATTGCCGAGTGTCCATAGCTACTAACACAAATGACCAATCCATTAAAATTGCGCAAGGCCCGACCCAACTAATATTCATACATAAGGACATGCATAAACACCGAAATGTATCTGTCTATCTACCAGATAGATATACATTTATCTATTTATCTATCCGGTAGATATGCATGTCTAGACTGATAGCTATGTATCAATTTCTGTGTATAAGCCAGTCCATATAATGAAAATTCACTCTTTTCCGCTTTTTCAGTTCTATCTCTAAACAATATCCTAAACATTTGTCATAGGTTATAGGAAATTAAGAATACTAAACCCCTTGAACACAGTGACATAGATAATTAGAGAAAAAACCATTTCATTTCTAATACAATTCATATTTCTTGACAATAACTTGTATACCAGGAAACCTACTCGTACCATCCATAAATAGATTACAATATACGACTCTTCCATTTACTTCCAAAACCTAAACATCGCACATTAATTTTCTACCATTAATCAAGACCGCTTTTCAATTATATAAACCACCATTCACCTCACTCACATCGATATATTTAATGATGTGTTGCAGCATTTCCTTATCCTTCACTCGCGACATTTTTGGATTTCAGATTTTGTAAACAAGTTGTGACGTCATAGGGAGGACTGGCTAAAAGTGCCGATTTACTACCGTATGAATATACGTACATGCACACATTCATACATAAATACAGACAGGCAGATCGACATACATATATACATTCATACATACATAGATACATGCATACATACATACATGCATACATACATACATACATACATACATACATACATACATACATACATACATACATACATACATACATACATACATACATACATACATACATACATACATACATGCATGCATACATAAATATAGACAGGCAGACAGATAGACATACACACATGCATACATAATAATAGTAATAATGATGATAATAATAATAATAATATAGATAATAATGATAATAATAATAATAATATGATAATAATATAATAATGATAATGATAATAATAATAATAATGATTATGATGATACATACATACATGCATACACATACATATATATGAATACATATGCCTGCGTGCATACATACATACATAGTTACATACCTACACATACACATATATATCGAGTGGGGAGGGGAGGTATAGAGGGTATCTTCAGGGAGGGGGAGGGGGGGAGGGGGTCTAACAATCAATCGACTTAAATGACAATATAATCACATATATAGATAGGCACACAGACAGATAAATAGACATAGATTAGAGATAGGTTGATATAAATTATTGGTGTATATGTTATATATATATATATATATATATATATATATATATATATGTATATATATATATATATATATATGTATATATATATGTGTGTGTGTGTGTGTGTGTGTGTGTGTGTGTGTGTGTGTGTGTGTGTGTGTGTGTGTGTGTGTGTGTGTGTGTGTGTGTATACATACATACAAACATACATACGCAAACATACACACACACAGCTATATATATTTTTTGTGTATGCATATGTGTGTGTGCATGTATGAATGTATGTATGTATGCATGACAGTTCATTCAGTGTCAGGTCCAACAGGTAGTCGTCACGTGTACTGGAGCTTGGCTTGATTTGTCTTTTTTATGGGACTGGACGTACTAGTATATACATACATACATACACACACATATATATATATATATATATATATATATATATATATATATATATATATATATATATAATATATATATATATATTATATATATATATATATATATATATATATATATATATATATATATGCGCTATTTGGTTTTCAAGTCACACACACGCGCACAATTTTTCTCATTCTGTAAGTCTCTCATTACATTACACTGTCAGCTAAAGACTACAGCACTGTGAGTCGACCCGAGTTTTTGAGTCATTTAACTGTTAAAAAAACATGGGATAACGGGGGCTCCGTTACCATTATGATTATCGTGATTATGATAACTATCATCATCTTCATTATCACTACTGCTGATTTATGTTGTTGTTTTTTAATTCATTTTCATCACCGCTTTTTTTTTTTTTTTTTTTTTTTTTTTTTTTTTACTATCATCTCTATTTATTTTCATAACCGTTTTTTTTTTTTTACTATCTCATCATCATCATCACTATTGATATTATAGTGATGATCAGTGTTATCAATATCAATCTGTTTATCATCATTTTCGTGATCAATAGCTTGCGGGATTTTTCCCTCACTTTATAGACATTGTTTATTTTTCTATTAAATCTCATTTTCATATATAAAGTTTTTTGTTTTTATCTTAATTTTTTTCCGTATTGTCTTTCATCCATGTGGCAGAAGACAGCAGCTAACATAATGATATTTGAATTTTTTCTCATAAACTCATACTGTTCTGCTGTTATAAATCGCGGCTACCTGTGTAACCTTTCATTAATTATTTAATTAGTAGTTAATTAGATATGACCAAGTTGTAAAACGATGTATAATTTTATTTCCGTGATGGGAGAGCAGGTTCATGGTACACTCAAGTATTTTTTTTACTTACACTGTATGTAATTTTCAAGAATAGATTCATTAACGTGTTATATCTAGACTTTATTTCCTAAGTGATGACAGAACACTTTCACGAACAAAGTTACAGGAATACGTGTGTGTGTTACAAAACGTCGACTTTTGTATTTGTTAAAACACCTCCTATTTATCTTGTGTGAGTGTTTTGTTAATATTTTACGTTATGATCTACATATTTCCTTGTCTAGGAGATGGTGTCTTCATTTCCTTATCAAGGAAATAATCGTTATCTCTGTATATTTTTGTATCTAGGGTAAATATCTTTATCTTTAGAAAAATCTTTACATCATCTCTTATATAATATTAATCATATAATTTACATAACATTATATACATACATACACACAGACATACATACACACAGACATACATACACACACACACATATACATATATATATATATACACACACACACACCACCACACACACACACACACACACACACACACAACACACACGCACGCACACGCACACGCACACACAACACACACACACACAATGTATATATATATATAATATATATATATATTATATTATAATATATATAATATTATATATATATATATATATATATTTATATATTATATATATATATATATATATATATATATATTAATTATATATTATATATATATATATATATAATATATATATATATATATACTATATATACTCGTATGTCTGTAATATATTTTATCAACAATCATACAACCTGCCATGTTTAAGATATAGCATGAATGATCAATATAATTTTTTTTTCATAACTCTTGTATTTCTCCAGATCTACACACCGAATCTTCATAAAAATAAATAAATAAATAAAACAAAATTCGTCTTTATATGTCTTTATATATGATTCGGCTCTACGTCACGAATTCCCGCGCAAAGTATTCCTGTACGATTTCCCGCTCATTCGAGTTTCGTAAAAATAGATAAAAGAAATGAAAAAAAAAATGAAATGGAATAAGATTAATAAAATAAACATAATGAAAAATAAAGAAAGATAAAAAATTAAAAATAAACAAAAAATTAAGTGGACCAGGGAATTTAGCTCTAAAGCAAACTCCACATATTTATTTTCATTGTCAATTCTGAACAGCGCGGTTCTTTTAATTACTCATTCCCTTCGCTTCTGTTATTCTATGTTTATATATCTTTGAAATTCCTTTTCCCACTCGGTTCTGGTTTACGAATGTGTTAGTGTTCTTTGGCTGTTTTTTTCTGTTTATCCCTTTCTTTCTCTTTGGTTTAGGTTTCTGTCTGTTGCTGTTTGCTTTTGTTTCTCCTTCCCTGACACTGTCTATGTCCTCCTGTTCTCTCTCTCTCTCTCTCTCTCTCTCTCTCTCTCTCTCTCTCTCTCTCTCTCACTCTCTCTCTCTCTCTTCTCTCTCTCCCTCTCTCTCCCCTCTCTCCCTCTCTCTCTCCTCTCTTCTCTCTCTCTCTCTCTCTCTCTCTCTCTCTCTCTCTCTCTCTCTCTCTCTCTCTCTCACACACACACACACACACACACACACACACACACACATACACACACACAACTTCTAACGTTCTCTCTCTCTCTCTCTCTCACGTCAACACACACACACACACACATACTTTCTAACGTTCTCTCTCCTCCCTCCCTACCTCCCTCCCTCCTCCCTCCCTCCCCCCTCCCTCCCTCCTCCCCTCCCTCCCCTCTCCCTCCCTCCTCCCCTCCCTCTCCCTCCCTCCTCCCTCCCTCCCTCCCCCCCCCCTTCCTTCCTCCCCCCTCCCTCCCCTCCTCCCTCTCCTCCCTCCTCCCTCCCCCTAACCTTAAGCTACAAATATATAAACACAATCGTACACAGTGACAGTATTTGTACTTTTTGCACACCTACAAGCATGACAGTAGCGAAATATTTGCAGGCCTCATTGGTTCGTTTCCTTGAAGGCGCCAATATTTTGATGGAAAAGAATATGACCAAATAGAAATAAAAACATTAGTATATAGCTATCTGAACTGAAGAAAGTGTTTCTTTCATGGTTAAGTTAAATGTCTGAAATGAAACAGATTTGACTCCAAGATTCCGTTAATCTTGATCTTCTTTTTATTATTTTTCAATATTATTTATTGTTTATTTATCTTTATTAAAGATATAACTTTTAACCTACAATGATTTACAATTATACATCTCTCCTACATATAAGATCATTCTATTATCAGCCAGACTTTCTTGTAGCAAAATCACTTGTTTGTCATTCCATTTTTCATTTCATTCCATTTTCGTTCATACTTTTCTACATTTAATTTGTATATCTATTTAATCAGTACTTCTAAGTAAGGCCCTTAGAAGATAGAGAATGAGAAAAAAAGAAAAAAAATGTAAACGCAGGATTCGGTCTCAAGTTATGGGGATTTTGAATTTCCCGCGCAAACGTATCTGATAATGTTTATATCTTCCTACAACTCTACCCGTGAAAAGAGAACTTACGCATTGTATTAACACTTCCAAGTAAGGCACTTGAGAGAGATAGAAAATGAAAAAAAGAAAAAAAAATGTGAACCAGGATGCGGTCTCAGTTTTTGGATTTTTGAATTCCCCGCGCAAACGTATCTGATAATGTTTATCTCTCCTACAACTCTATCCCGTGAAAAGAGAACTTACGCATTGTATTAATACTTTAATAAAGGTACTTAAGAAGAGAGATAGAGAATGAAAAAGGAAAGAAAATGTGAACCAGGATACGGTCTCAAGTTTTTGGGGATTTTGAATTTCCCGCGCAAACGTGTCTGATAATGTTTATCTCTTCCTACAACTCTACCGTGAAAAAGAGAACTTACGCATTGTATTATACTTCTAATAAAGGTACTTGAGAGAGAGAGAGAGAATGAAAAAAGGAAAGAAAAAATGTGAACCAGGATACGGTCTCAAGTTTTGGGTTTTTTTAAAAATTTCCCCGCGCAAACGTGTCTGATAATGTTAATTATCTTTTCTGCAAACGCTACCATTGAAAAGAGAACTTACGTATTGTATTATTTCAATGAAGGTAC